GCCAACAGAGTCAACGTGGCTCAGACACCGAAGGGCCCCTGCTCAGGTCCGCGGCCCAGCATCACCAGCTGGCAAAGCCTCCCCTCCCACCACCCCCGGCACGGCTGCACGCACTGAGCACCAAAAACCTGCCCGAGAGCCGGCGGCAGGCGAGGGCCCCCCTCCCGCCCCACCACACCGCCCTCGGCATCCCCAGGGCAGAGGGACCCAGGGCGAAAGGGGTGGGATGCGACCGGTCACTCACAATCATGTTCTCCAGGGCGTACTTGGCAAGCCAGCAGTTCAGAAACACAGGAATGAACAAATTCCGCAAAGGAGGCCAGAATATCTATGAAAGGAAGAGTTACTCGCAGAAAAATCCATATTCCCTATCAGAAAAAGCTATAAACAGCCAATTTGAACCCCGTCGGGAAGGATCCATCTCCAAACTGAGCACTGGCCTCTGCAGGGCTGCCACCGAACGCGGCCCCGCTCCCCTGGCTGCAGTGGGGCAGCTGAAAACAGAGGGTGGTTTTTGGGATAACGCTCCAGAGAAAGTCATTCTGTTGAAAAATATTGAAGAAAAAAATTTCCTGCCAGCTTTATATACTGCCAGACATCCACTTTTCTTCATTTCATTACCAAAATTACAGTACTTACTAAATTTGAAAGTCACTGGGAAACACTCACTGTGATAATAAATGGCACCGTGTTGATCATCTCAAGGATGAATGAAATGCGAAAAATCTGTTCCCAGATGTTCCCCTGAGGAATTAAGAACAAATAATAATAAAATAAGCTTAAAAATCTGCCAAATGACAATTTAAAAGCTTCCACTCTGCCACAGACCCTGCTAGATGGGGAAGTACACCAGAGCAGCCGGAAAGATGCTCCGGTTTGCCTGCGGGAGAGAGATGCAGTGCTGGCGGCAGACACGCTGGAGTCAGTAACACCTTCCCAAACCGTTCAGTCCTTTCCGCAGCCACGACGTCCCTCTGTCCATCACTGCCGCTGCCCAAAGCCAGGGGACAACAACGCTTCGTGCAAGGATGGAGAATGAGAGCGACTGATACAGACCGCTGGCACTCAAACCAGGCGGGCAACACAGGGTCTGAGTCTTTTCTGCCAACTGTCCCAGGGACCCCGAGAAGATGCCATTTGTTAAGGTCACTTTTCTTGGCTATTTTAAGGGGCTTTGATCCAAAGGAGTCAGCCTGTGCCTCTCCCTGTCTGGCTTGGAGCAGTGCCTGCCACCTCCAGAGGCAGCAGACCTCGGCACAAGCAGGGCTCATGCTGCCGAGCTCAGCTCCAGGTCCTCAACCTTAGGAAACTCAGCGTACGTCAATCTGGCCACCCAAAAAAAGCAGCAACCCTTTGTAAAACAGGTCTGAATTTAAAGGAAGGTGAAAAAAGAAGAGATTGCCCAGCTCTGCTCTGCCAAACACTTCTCCAGCAGCCCAAGGGGGAATGAGAAATGAAAACAGCCACAGCCAGCTGAGACATTGCCGAGACAAACGTCCTCTCAGGATGCTCCGGGCTTCAGGCAGCTCAAAGGCAGAGAACTGAATTCACGCCGGGCGGTCAGACCCAGACCGCGCATCACTGTCCCGCGCCCGCCCCGGGGCCCTTACCTTGTAGCTGAGATAGATGAGCAGCATGGTCTCCAGAAAGCTGATGACAGCTATGCTGACCTGCAGAGACAGACAGGCAAGGGCTGCCGAGGGCTCTTTCGATGCACCGTCCCTCGGTCAGAGGCTGCCAGCGCCTCCGCCCAGCCCTCCCTGCCCTGGGCGATGAGGAGCCCATGGGTATCGCAGACGTGGGCCTGTCCGTTTGGTTTCTCTGCACCGGTTTGAGCGAATGTCTGCCACGCACCAGCAACCGGCACGCAGGCAGCCCTGAGCAGAAATCGCTCTACCCTCCCGCGAGCGATTCCCAGGCAGCTGCCAAGCCTGAAAATAGCCCGTTACTGGTACGGCTGCACCCAGGCTGGGGAGGAGCATGATTTTATCTTCCTACAGCTTTTCCTCTCCTATCGGTCCCTGGGATTTTCACCCAGGGGTGTTGTTGCTCCCAGCAGAAGCCCGAGCTCATTTTCTGCCCGCCTAAGAGAACCCGTTGCCCCTGGCTGTTGCGGGCAGAGGATGCACAGAGACCCGCTGGCGGCAGAGCCCAAACCCCGGCTCCTGCTCTGCTCCTGCACGACCATGCCCGAGGCCTGGGCACTCACCTGCACAGCCCACAGCGGCATTTTTCTATCCACCCAGAAGATGTGTGACCTGCAAAGAAAATTCAAAATGGATCTAAGCTGTAGCCCAACTAGCAGTGCCTTTACCCGCCACCAAACGCAAATCTGAAGCCATGACCGATGCAGGATCCAGCACAGGACTGGTACTGGTGTTCCTTACTGCACGGTTTGTTCAAGCAGCCTCTGCACTGGGAACAAGCCATTCCCAAGGGTGCAGCTGCAGGCACTTGTCAATTGATTTGATCCTGGGACGCTGCTCCACATCCCTCGAGCAGCCCCGTGACCAAGAAATGGTCACGGGCAGCTGCCAGCACCAGCCACGTCCATCACTGCATTCCCACGTCCTGGCAGAGCCGGACCCCAGCACTGGAACAACCCTCGACTCACCAGTTTATCTTCGTGGACTGGTTGAACGCCGTGTAATTCTGCTTTTCGCATTCCCAGCTAGAAGAGAAAGACAAAGCAGGGAAAAGCAGTCAGCGGGGGGAGGAAGGAAAAAGGGTGCTGGTGTTGACTCCCCGGGCTCATGGGGTGCCCTCGCCGCTGTGTCCTGACACTGGGGGAGGCCCCCAGACAACGGATCCAAACGCACGCTGGTCCCTACAGCCGGGGCTTTCCACAGGAGCCTATCTCCCCCGAGCAGTTTTTCACATCTTATTACTGGAGAATAAGACCCGTCAGGTACTTCAACCCGTACCAGAGATGCTGCAAAACGCTGATACTCGCTGGGCACGGGGCTCCTTCTGCACAGTGCTCAAACTGGGGCTGCAGGTGGGAATTACCAGGTTAGAATTAGCAAAAGCTGTTGAGCTTCAGCTCCTAAGACAAGGCTAACTGGCCCCGAGCAGCCAGGCAGGCAGCACCGAAGCCAAGCTCTCCCCCTGCCGTGCTGCGAGGGATGCGTTCCCGCTGGCCAGCCTTTATTTTGCCACAGAGCCTCGGGAAAGTGGGTTTTCCTGAACTGCAGCTGTGCTGAACCTTTCCAGGATATGCATCTGTGTCACGCTTGATTCTTACAGATATGAGACCACTTTTGGACAATGCGGATGTACTTGGTAGTCTGCAGCCTTTTACAAAGAGAAAATCAAATTGCTAATTCTCCTAGCTCTTGAAAAAAAAAACCACACTGTATGTGAGCTAAACAAAGCAAGGACATACTAAAAATAGGCTTATACTGAAACCCAGAGCAAAGCTGATGTATGTAATCATCTGTCACCTCGGGGATCTAAATGGCAAAACATATTTCCTTCCCAAACGCTTAAACGGGATTTAGCATCAGTGTCTTCAAGGGCATCAGGATTCAGAAAACACTTGCATGGTGATGCCCTGTAATCGTGAGCTCTTGCCTGTGTCTGAAGGCCACGCTGCACCCCTGACCGTTGGAGCCAGACAGCGCTTGGGAAGGAATGTGGCGCTGAATTTTTCCACCCCCTTCCCCCCGTGCGCTGTGCAGGGCCAGCGGATGCCCACC